AAAATATCAAATTGAATCTCCTTTGATAACTCCATTGAAGTGGATTTTTTTTTTCTAGCTAGTTGATTAAGGGTTTTGATATCTCATTTAATAACTCCATTGGAGTTGCTCTAAGGAACCCATATGTATCGTCTCTAACTCCATTAAAAAAAATTCAATAACCTCACATTACTCCAGGGTCATTCCTGAAAAATTTGGTGCCCTAGACGAGTTTTAAGAATTTGTAAAAATGGACCCTATTTCTATTGCATAATTAATATACACATTAATTCATTTTAATGAGCACGGCAGAAAAACAATTTTTTGATTAGCAAATAAATATTTTAGAGAAAATTAGTTATGTGCCTAAAATAAATGTACAAAATTAATTATTAAGTAATTTTTATGCACCAAACCAAATCAATTCTCTTATGATCCGAGAGGTAAGGTGCTCTCCGATCCTAGCCAGAGAACCACTATTTTTATCCAAATACACATTCATAGTATTTATAGTGGCAAAACATTAATAAGATAAACTAAAACATATTGAATTCTAATTCATTCGGAATTTTAAACAATATAGTTTATCCTTGAATCCAATCTAAGATTATAAGACATAATTTATCATAGAAGAATATAGACTATAGGCGCTAGCTTAACATATATATATTTCCACAGAGAAAATAAAAGGAAAAAAAAAACGACACTTTTTTGCAAATGTTGCTTTGCTTGTTGTAATTGTTAGTTCGTTCACTATGTGGGTTACTTCTACTCAATCATAAATAAAGTTGGTGAAAATTTGGAGATTATTTAATCTTGATGAGTTGCTCTTGTAATAATAATTTCTAGTGTAACTAATTTTTAAGGAAATTCCTTTAAACATCAATCTTCTATTTTTCATCTATTATCATCTAGTTATTCTGTAATGAAATCTTTTAACTTTATATTTTTCATAGCAAATTGGATATTAGATGGTTATGGAATCCTGATTCGAGCATACCTAATCCTATCTTTTTACTCTCTTTTTTTTTTTCGTTTTTCTTTTTTTCTTTTCTCTACTAATTTTGAAATTATACTGAGTTAAAATATTTCAAGTTCATCTGAAATCCTTTGTACATCAATCTCCTATTTTCATCAAATTTTCTATAATTAGTGCAATGAAATATTTCAGTCTATATCTTTCATAGCAAATCGGATATGAGATGGTTATGAAATCCTAATCCACTACCAACAGACGATTTTTTTTTTTTAATTTCTAATTAGTGTGTGTGTGTTTCTTTTTTTTTAATAGCATACACCAACGTAAAAATCTTCATCCATGATTATAAGGGCAAAAGAAAGAATTTTATATCGATACAATATTTCCTAAAATTAGAGAAATATAATTTTTGAATTTTTAATGTTATTGCTCGTACAAACAAAATTTGCTCATGAGCTCTTGAATTATTTCAATGTGATCACATTTTTTTTTTCTTTTTCCACCAATCAATGTCAACCCTAAAATAATAGAGATCTCCCTTCATACACAACTTTTGTATATAAAAAGAATGCCCGTTTGGAAACCCTAGGTGATCATTTTCGTAAAAAATCATTTATTTCTGAAAAATACATGTGTATCTCTTTTTATTTCTTATTATTTTTTTTAAATTCCCGTGTTGGAAATTAACTTTTTTTAGTTATTTTTCTATGGCCGCTTTAATTTTTATGCACTATAAAAAAAATGGGCAAATGGCAAAAAGGCCCATCACATGGGACTTAAATGCATTTTGGTCCATAAAAAAAAAGTCCCTCAATTAAGCTCATCCTCATGTCTTTAGTCTAAAATACCCTCAATAATATAATTCTTATCAATTCCACCCATTATGCTCTAACTTCCTTAATATTACACATTGACCCCGGATTTAAACAAATATATCACATTAATCCCCAAAACTTTTTTTTTTCAGAAAATAATTTTTTTTCTAAAATGTTTTTTTTCCGGCCAGATTCCGGCGTTGACCGCCGGAGAGCGCCGGTCTCCGGCGTTGACTTTTTTTTTTTTTTTTATTTGAAAACTTTTTTTTTTCCTGAATTTTTTTTTTCCAGCCGGTCAACCACCGTTGACCGCCGGTCTCCGGCGTTGACTTTTTTTTTTTTTTTTTTTTTTTGAATTGTGTTTCTTAGAAAAAAATATTTTAATTAATATTACTGTCTTGGCTACTAAATTACTGTCTCAGACAGTAATATTACTGTTTGGGACAGTAATACTATGAATATTATTTTTTCGAACAGTAATACTATGAATATTATTGTCTAAGACAGTTAAATTACTGTTGGAGATAGTAATTTAACATCCAAGGCGGTAATATTAATTAAAATAATTTTTTTAAGGAAAAAAAAAAGTCAATTAACAGTTAAATAACTGTCTCCGACAGTTAAATAAATGCAGGAGACAGTAATTTAGCAACGAATACAGTAATATTAATTAAAAATATTTTTTTTAAGAATAAAAAAGTCAATTAACAGTTAAATTACTGTCTCCGACAGTTAAATAACTGCTGGAGACAGTAATTTAGCAACGAATACAGTAATATTAATTAAAATATTTTTGAAGAAAAAAAAAAAACAAAAGAGTCAATTAACAGTTAAATTACTGTCTCGGACAGTTAAATAACTGCCGGGGACAGTAATTTAGCAGCCAAGACAGTAATATTAGTTAAAATATTTTTTTAAGAAAAAACAAAATTATATATAAAAAAAAAAAAGTCAATGCCGGAGACCCGGCGGTCAACGGCAGTTGACCGGCTGGAAAAAAATTTCAGGAAAAAAAAAATTTCAAAAAAAAAAAAAAAGTCATCGCCGGTCAACGGCGGCGACCGGCGGTCTCCGGTGGTGGCGGGTCAAAATTGGGGTCAAAATTGAAATTAGGGTTAAAATTGGTTAATTGATGAAATTGGGCTAAATTGAGGTGTAAATCATGAAATTGGAGTTAAATTGAGTTTCAATGAAATGGGGCTAATTTTGGTATATATAAAAGGATTTTCCTTATTTGCAAATAAGTTTGAATGAGCTGATTTATTTGAAAGACAAAAAAGTTGGATGTCCCTCTTTTAATTAAGTGCCCTTGTCATGGGCCTATTTGCCATTACCCCAAAAAAATTAGTCTCTTCCTTTTAAGAATATTGTAATTATTTTTTTATTCTAGTTATATTTTTTTATTTTATTTTATTTTTATCTACTACAATTCCGTCTTCTTTGTTATCTCAAGAAAAAATCAGCGGTTAGTGTTGGAATTGTATCGACACAACAAAGAGTAATTAAATGTATTTTCCACTATTAGAGACGTATTTTTCATTTATTATAAAAGTATTTTTATTTATGATATCAGATTTGTATGAAGGTTGATGTTGTTTCTGTAATATAAATATCACTAATAAATTATATTATATAGCATAATATATTTCCTATTACAACTGTTAATTTTTACTATTTTAATAATTATTTTTTTCAATTTTGAGATACTAGTTTTATAATTCAAAAAATATAAAGAATGCTTATTTTGAGATTGCGAGAAATGACCACATCATTGTTATTAAATACATGAAAATCTTGTATACTACACGAATTTAATGTCACGAATGACTATTTTTTATATAATTAAGTAATTCATATCCCAAAATTTAATAAGTGATGAGTAATTAGCATTCGAATTGAGATTCTACACACACACATATAGGGATAATTACAGTTTTGGTCCCCCAAGTTTGCCCTTTTTCAGTTTTGGTCCCCTATTTATCGCAGTCAACAAAATACACTCTCGTTTTATCACAATTTAACACATTTGGTCCTGCCGTTTGGTTGACCGTCTCACTTAACAGTCAACTGTGCCACGCACGTGACTTCAAATTAGGGCTCCAGTCGTATTTTTCCCCCAAAATCAACATTTCTCTCTCTTTCTCTCTCTCCACGCTCTCTCTCAAATTGGGGATTTTTCCAAGAACCCTAATTTTTGGAAAAAAATTCCAATTTCAACAATCCAAACACCAAATCACGAAATTCTCTCTCCCCTTCTTGAAAATATGAGTAGTCGATCTACCACATCAAATCGAAAACAGCAAACTGGCAATGATTCTGGGGGTTGGAGTGCAAGACCATTTCCATCGAAGCTCATACATGTAAATGTGGAATTGAGCTTACAATAAACACTTCGTGGACTGATAAAAACCCTGGGCGGCGATTTCTTGCATGTGCGAATTACATGGTGAGTAAATATCTGAAATTAAGGGGTGCCATTTGTTCCAGTTATGAATTTCAATTTTTTTTTTGTCACAGAACGTATCACATTGCAATTATTTTGAGTGGGTCGATCCAGAAATGTGTGAAAGGTCAAAACAAATTATTCCCGGACTGTTGAAGAAATTAAACAAATTGGAAGATGACATGAAAGAAGAGAAGGAAAACCAAAGGAAGATGTTGATTCAACTTGAATTATACAAGAATAAAGTAATGAAGTTGATGGTTGTGATTCTTGCTTTGCTTTTGTTTATAGCAATGCATATGATTTTGAAGCTCTAATGATGTAATGTTGTCTGATGTTGAAGCTCAATTGATGTAATGTTCTCCTTATATAGACTTTTGTAATGCATATTTTGAATGTAATGAATGGTTAGACTATATTGATGTTTTGAATGCAAATGTGTGTTGGTAATGTGTGCTACTGTGTGATGGTGACCAACAAATGAGATCAATATATATATAACAACTAAAATAACAAGCATGAAGGATTCCAAATCCCAGAAAAATTCCAATTGAAAAACATTCCAACTCAACAAATCCAGAATTCCAAATAACAACATTCCAAATGAACAAGACTCCAATTAAACAACATTCCAAATGAACATAACAACAACAAACAAACAAAACAAACCAAAGTAAAGTAACATCATTCCAATGGATGACAAAACAAACAAAATAAAGTATATGTCCATAAAGTACTCCAAAAGTCATTGCAACAACAATTCAAACATAGGAAAAACATGAAGTTATGTGGTCTTCTTTGATCCATTCTTTGATTGTGTTGGCTTTTTGGCTGGCCTTGGTGCAGTGAATGGATTTGCAGAACTTGTAGAGCCTTGGATACCAAAAGCAGATCTGAGGTTGGACATTGTGATGAAATTAACTCCTCCCTTGACAATGACAGGAGTACTTACACTTGAACCTTCATTGATCTGCATCTACATCAACAAAAAGAAAAATGTTCAGTAAACAATCCATTAAGTACATTAAACAATCAAAAGGTTCAGTAAACACTTACATTGATTGTAGAGGTAGTATTTGAAGTTCCTGTCATATTCACTTGCCTTTTTGTTGGCCTTCTTACCTACAACAGTGATCTAATAATAATAATAATAAACTAAAATAAGAATAAACATTGAAAAAAGGAAAAACATTGAATAAAAAATGAATAAAGTTACCTGCATATTCCTCTGTGGAACTTGTGTTTCTCCTCTTTGAGAAACATTCATTGCAGCAGTGCTTTGTTGTGTAACAGGTTCTTCCCTAGATTCTTGCCCACCTTGATCAGGTTCTTCCCTAGATTCTTGCACACCTTGATCAAATTCATTTGTTTATTCCACAGCCTTTCTTTTTCCTCCACATTACCTAGCATTATGCCCTGCTTGCCCGCACTTTCTGCACTTATTAATTCTTGGAACCCCCTTTAACTTTGTTCCCCCAACAGAAGGTGGCTCATCTGGCTCTCTTCTTCTCAGTTTTTGTGGTCTACCAGCTTTTTCTTTATACATTGGTGGTAATGGAGGCTGCAAAGTGCATTGAGGCCAAAATTATGGTCCATTTATTGGTGAAATGGAGTTTTCATATACTCTTTTATATGAGTCAACACTGTAACAGTGATGAACATATAGCTCATGGTCTTCATGCCTACACCAAATGGCAGAAATGGCATGTTTGCAAGGGATACCTGTCAAATCCCATCTTCTGCAGCTGCAACTCTTTGCTCTTATGTCAACAGTATGCTGATCATACATCCCCACTATCTGAAAATTCCACTCATCTGATTTCATTGGGATGCACTCACCAGCCTCTTTCATATTCTTTATCAAGACAATTCTGATCTTGGGACAAATGCTTGTATCCCATTTTAGAGCCTTTTCCCTATTCAACACCATTCTAGCCATCAACAGATTTCTTATACACTCAAGCATTGGTATTATTGGTTTCTCTCTTGCATCAAGGATGAAAGAATTAAAGCACTCACACATATTGTTCAACAAGATATCACATTTAGGAAATGGATTGAAATGAGACCTGGTCCAATTTTGAGGAGGCTTCTTCACTAACCAATTGTATGCAGCTTCATCTATAGCCCTCAGTTCTTCCATTCTCCTCTTGAACTCTTCAATTCTAGTGGCTTTTGCAGCTGCCCACAGTGCACTCTTAATTGCCATACCCCCAAAGCCATCCTTCTTCATATTAACGTGTAAGTGCCTTACACAGAATCTGTTTTCTGCACCTGGGAATAGAGTTTTAAAAGCAGGGATAAGTCCCTTTTGTTTATCAGACATAAATCTCCACTTGTGTTGTTCCTCAAAGCCAATGTCTTCATCTAACAACTGAAGGAAGCACATCCAGGTTTCCTTAGTTTCACCCTCAACAATAGCATAACAAATTGGATATATGTTATTGTTTGGATCCAACCCAACTGCAGCCAATAATTGTCCACCCCTCTGCCCTTTCAAAAAACACCCATCCACTCCTATGACAGATCTACAAGCATTCTTGAACCCTTCTTTGCAAGCGGAAAAGCAAATGTACAATCTTTGAAACCTCAAACCTTCTGTGTCCTCTGTCAATTTTAAAACAACAGTGGCATTTGTGTCTGTTCTTTTGAGTTCTTCACAGTAAGATCTTATTTTTTGAAACTGTTCTTCTTCTGAACCTTGAATAGCCTTTAGTGCCTTTTGCTTTGCCCTATAGGCTTTAGATTTGGAGACACTTGCTTTCAAAGTTGTGCACACTTCATTTCTGAACTCAGTTGTGCCTAACTTAGGATTTTCTTTGAATTTTTTCATGAAAGTTTTACCAATCTAGTTGGACTTGAGGCTGCTGTTGTTGTAGTTCCAATAACAGTTGTTATGGTCAGACACATAAGTTTTGATTTGCCAAGTCTTGTCATTTTGCATTGGAGAAACATGTATTGACCATTTGCAACCATCATTCTTACAGCAGGCCCTCAGTCTTCTACTGTCATTCTTGTAAAACTTGATCATCATCCCCTCCTAAAGCAGTGGCTCTCTATAGCAAATTTTGCTTCTTTTTTTGTAGAAAAAACCAACCCAAGTTTTAACTCAGGGTTTTTATTGTCAGTTTTAGGATTAAACTTGGGGAATTTAACCCTATGTTCATCATCAGAGCCACAATCACTGCCCATTGAGTCACTGTTAACACAGTCATCACCACCTTCTTCATTAAGCATCCTAGTATACATACCATCTGAGACAAATTCAGAGACCTTATCTTTACCCTTTGATTTAACCCCATCAAACTCAGTATCTGGATCTACATAGGCTTCAAACAACTTGTCATCTTCTTCAAAGTCATAATCACTATCATAAAACTCATCACCATCTCCCTCATTGTCACTCTCATTGCTTAACTCAGGTTCAACATTGGGTAATTCAGGTAAAACATTGTCAGTTTGCTCATCAGTAATGAATGATGATGCAACTTGACTTTGCAAGGTAGGTACCACATTCACAGTTTCTTCCAACCCCAACTGTTCTAAGTATATTTCAACTTCATAGTTAATAGGTTTCATAGAAGCAACACTGGTATCAGTTTCCAAGTACCTACCCATATTCAGATTTGCCCCATATTTGTACCAAAATTTAATTTTTTTCCTATCAGAATACCCCAACTCCCGTGACATTATCCACATATCAAGCATCCTCATCTCAGCAGGTTTTGAAAAATCAAAAAACTCCTCACACCCACCTATGTACCCTCGTTTCTGGACCATGTTTCAGTACCCCCCCATAATACATTTTAACAGTACACCAAGTACTTATCCCAATTCTTTCTGACACTGATTTTTTGCCACAAGAAAGGAAACCAAATAAGAAATTTATCAGCCACATTGTTAATGACAAGAACAGTACATTAGGGTTCAAGTTGAGTTCTCCTTACCGTAATTTGGGGCAAATTCCACCAGGGAATTTGCTTTCT